AAACATGCTCCTATCTCAGGGCCTTTGCACTTGCTATCAACATCCTACAATGTTCTATATGTTTGTATGATTTTGCTCCTCTTGTCCAAGATAGCTCAGTGCTATCTTGTCAGTGATAAACTCTGAACTACAGTATATAAAAGCATTCCCATGCCCACATGACCACATCACTTTCTAGATCCCTTGCCTGGTTTTATTGTTCTCTATATAATTTTCGCTTGCATATAAGGTGGTTCACTGAATGTTGGAGAAAATATGTCCTGAAATCCAGTCTCCCCTGTTCTAAGAACTGTACTCCTTAGCAGGGGCCTAAGTCTGGCTGGAGGAGGAAGCTTTTTTTTAATTCACACAGTGTTGCTGTGTACTACCTAAGGCATGTGCCTTTTTCTAACTTGCAAAGACACCATATTGTTCATTAGTATCCCCATTTTTTCATCATCTAGTAGAATATAAATTCCAGAGGAGCAAAATCTTTGCTTGTTTGTTCATCTTTGCTTCCATAATGCTTAGAACAGTATCTGACAGATAGGAAGTAGTAGATAGGTCTTTTTGTCTAGGTGGATGAAAGGATGCATGGAGGGTGAGAAATGTGTAAGTAAACAGAAGTGCCAACATTATGTATTGAATGTCATGGTAAGGCTGTGGGCAGGATAGTGAGGAAGCTCAGAAGTAACCCTGCCTTGAGAGATCAAAAAATGTGTTCCAAGACAACTTTTATTTGGATTTCCTTGTTCTTAAATTTCATAGCTCCTAGGGTCAAAACTGTTTAGAGATAATCACATTTAGATTTGGAGCTGAACAATTCTAGATATAGCCTTTACACATGCTTCCTCTGAGATTTCTGCAACAGCAATGATTACCTCTTCTACCTTGGGATCAAGGAAGGGAATGTGAGTGAACCTAGGGTAAAAAACAAAACAAACAATGTCCACCCAGCTTACTGGAATTCCATTCTGGAGTGAGTGAGCAATCCCAGAGTGCATATACTACAACAAAGTTTTACATTGGGGGATAGTGCCGCAGTCCGGCTGCAGCAAAATAACCGGGGGGTGACGAGCAACTTGTGTACATCGATACAGCAGGAGTGGGAGCCGTTTATTGTAGGACAGGAGGGGTATATATACATTCCACACAGCTTATCTTAATTAACATAAACTAGATACAGCAGTCAACCAATAAGGAATCTCCACACTTAATGGCTTGCTGGCGTTACTTCACAAACCACTCCCTCTGGCAAAATGCCAGGCGCCATCTTGACTTGTTTACAGACCCTAACAGGATAGGATTAAGATGGCAAGAGAAGAAAATGTATTACAGAGGTTTGGAACTCTCTTGAGTCTTTAAGTTTCTCTGAGTTTATAATTTTACAGACAAAAGCAACATGATTCTGGTCAGCGTTAATTAAATGGAGGAGCATAGGTTTTAGGAATGGGATATCAGTGACTGTTCTGATACCATAATAAACTTTACAATAATCAGTGAAAGCAAGTGTTTAGAAAAGAGAACTTACCTTTAATACACTTAGAAACATTCTGATGGTCACTTCCCAGAAAGAATAATAAAACTTCACTTTGATGATGCCCAACTTAACAAGGGGTTAGAGAAACAAGTATTAGAGAACAGGAAATAGTTTCTTCCTTTTGAATCTCTACACATATTAAATACTGCTCCTAGAGTCGCAAAAATCCTTACAGAATCCTGAAGCTGAAAAGGGCAATAGACAGTAAGCGGTACACTTTCACTGTATAAGGAAAAAAAATTGGTATCCATGGATTGACTTGCTCTTGGCTACACAGAGTTAAAGCAAGAACATTGGCATCTTGAAATCAAGTTCATTGATTAATTGTTCCATGCCCGAGAGTCAAAAGAGTGGGTTCTTTTCCAAAATTTTGGTTCAGGAGCTAAAGGATATCCTTGAATTAACAGATGAGCCAGGTTTTACTTAAGAGATTTTAAGCACTCATTTAAACAACACTACCCACCTACAGGCTATCTTGGCAATCTTGGATCAATGGCAAGTTAACTTCCATCCTAAAGCTATAAAAAACAAACACAAATGTAAATTCCATCTTTCAAGATCTCAGTAAATATCTCTCTCTACCTAGCCTGCCTTCTCTTTTTTGAAAAAGAAAAAAAATTGAGGGGATATCCATTCCAGCATCACGGACCCAGTCCATTGATAACACCCTTAATCCCAATTGTGCCAGAACTGGTGCTGGTTACTTGGGTATTGACCACAATTCCCTCCGCACCTGTGTGCATTACTACTGTGTGTTTCAGACCACTGACCAGGTGTGATGTGGTGTTTGCCAAATGTGCTCTCCTGTCAGGATGGCCTCAGGTCTTAGCCTAAGCAACTCCATTTGAAAACTCCAGTTTGAAACCTACAGTCTCACCTGGTACACCTATGGAGCCCTCCAGTATGGCCCTCCTACACAATCAAGTCACTTCTCCCTACCCTGACAAACTCAGAGTGAAGTCTCTGACATGTTGTCCTGGAAAAGCAAGAAAATCAGTGGTGCGGACCAGACCAGATGCTTTAACCTCAGGACAAATGACATCACTGAGAAATCCGGTGGCAGCTGATAGGGATTGAAAGGGTGATCAGAAACCCCCAAATTTAGTATAAATGATGGAGCAAATGAACAGACATTCAACTAGCTGACACTGATGCACACAAGCCTGAGAGCCTGATGAGGACTTGGACTGACATCCCAATTCTTCTCATCTACCTGATCCTCTGTGCTGTTCTCACCGCTCTCAAACTCTACAGCAGCCTCTTGACTCTAGTGAGAAAAGGACTTCTCCCGGGACAGCCTCCTCAGCCAGCCAACAGCTCAACCCCAGGAGAAGCCTGCCTTGGTTCCTGTATGATCCCCACTGTCTGAGTGAATGTGCATCTGCTGGACTTAGAGCCTAAGGCCTGAGACTTTTGATCTGACACTTCAGCTTAGCATGCAGAGGGAATGTCTACTATGAGCCTGTCATGATTAAGTGTGTTTGCAGTGCTTAGAATTAATCTAGAATTGTTTGCTGTGAATTGATTATGTCTGATGCAATGCCTAGGATTAAGAATTGTTATTTTCTTGATAAGAACCTGTAGATGGCATTGTATTGAATGATTTGAGTGAATAAAGCATTGAAAACGGCAGAAGCACAAGGACATTCTTTATTTCTCCCCCTCCACTGCATAAGTCGCACTTTTTGCCCATCGCGACACCTCCTCTCTTGAAAATATGCCAACTGCTAACAATTAGTAGATCCAGCCGCTCATTTCTTAGGTTACTTACTTCCGACACTGGGTTTCCTAAAGGAGCCCGGCTGCCAGCGCCATCAACAGTTATATCTGATTGAGTCTGTCCTCAGGGGTGTGGGGACCCAGAACACCGGGGGACTGCCGGGGTACAGGGTGCGCTGAGCAGAGCGCAGAGCCGGCTGGCCGAGGTGTGTCGCTGAACGACCCGCACAGACACCGCAGCTTTAAACAACTAGCGTCTAGGAGACCGGTGTTCCTTTCCCCGCTCCTCATCTCTGGGAGGAAACCACGATTGGAGCAGCCGAGGCGGCAAGTTCAAGGACTAGCTTGAAGTCGCGTTGACAGAAGGCGCGCAACTCGGCGTGCCCGAGGCCAGCGGGATCTCCGCCTCTGGATTCCCCGGAACAGGAAGTGCCCCGCGTTGCCGTAGCTACGGCGCCGCGCTCACGGCGGTGGGGTGGGGGGGGGGGGGGAAAGAGACGTTCCGTTCCCATGGCAACCCCCATTGTCTTTCCAGGGCAGGAATCCAGGCGGCCCAGGCCGAAGGCGACCTTGTTGACCCTCTAGTTAACGCCGGGCACAGTTGTGGCTCCCAGGACCCGGTCGGCCGAAGCCTCGACGCTGACGCCGCCCTCTGTAGCCGAACAGCGCGGGCGAGGGAGCCTGGAGGGCTAGAGCCGGGGTGTGGCTTCTCAGCCCGGGGTCAGGTACGCCGCAGAACGCCGCCTCGGACCAGTCCTGCCCGCTGGAGCCTCCGCGGTGCTAGGAGGGAGCTCCAGACCCGGCTCTGTGGCCACTGGGCTCACCAAGTTACCGAGGAACGATGCGGAAAAGGAGAAAGCGCCCTGTCCTTAAGAGCGGGGCCTAAATGTGGTGCCCTAGATCTTATGGGAACAGAATGTAGGAGTTTTGAAAATACGGATTAGAGGGAGAAATTAGTGAATATTCCATCTGAAATTTGGATATTGGGTATACTGGAACCTGGGTCAGAGACAGCTACTTGTGGATCCGATGGGAACGAGTGACATTCTAGGATGAAATGAGGAGGGACTTGGTAGATATTAATGTTCCATAATTGTGCATTGGATTTGGATTCCACTTACATGACAGCCTTGAGAAGTGAATTTCACAAATATTTATAAATCACATTTTCCACCATGTGTTTCAACACATTTTCCTCATCACCTAACAGCAGCCACCAAAGTAGACATATGGGTTTTAGTTCCTTAACTAGAATCTCCTATTAAATAGTGAAATGACACACACCCCCCCCCCCCCCAAAAGGAGGAGAATTAACCAATCCATTGGTTGTACTTCATTTAGTGCTGAGAACTAGTTGCTTTGTTTGGTTACTCTTTCCATCAAGCCTGCCAAAGAATAGCTAAGTAGGTGACCATAGTTTGGATGACCCAGGAGATGTAAAGGTGTGGCTTTTAAGAGTAAAAACAACAATAACAACAGGAACAATAACGATAAAAAAAATCATTTTAGAGAGTACTCTAGAGTAGAAATTAGGAAAAAGAAATTTAAGTCAGATTTTTTTTTTTTTTTTTTTTTGCAAATGTCTTTATGTTCTGCTTTCTGGAGTCATCTCCATACATGAGTTTGTATATAGTCTATTTGTGGATTTATATTTGGCACTTTAAACTTAATGTTAGTAGTAGCCAACAGGGAGAAAATAGAACAAATTCCTAAGCCTTTTCTCCCAAAGCTGATCTCATGTGTGACTCTTGGTAGGAAGAAGATGCAAGCCAGCCCCATCTATATCCCAACTGTTAACAATGACATTGACTGGGACTCCTGCTTCCATCGGTAAGTACCACAGAACCCCGACATCATGCTCCCTCACTGGCCAGAAACACAGGGACCCCTGTCCCCCTTAAGGCAAGCCTGGGTGAAACTATGCATGCACATTAGACAGAAGAGAAAGTTCTGCTGTGATGTGTTTTAATAGTAATTATGGTGTAGTGTCCATTTGGATCTTCTTTGCAATATAGAAGATAATTATTTATTTCCCTAATTTACAAAAATTTTAAGTTTTTAAAAACAAAAATAGGTTATTTATTCATTTATTTATTTATTTTTGGTTCCAGGGATTGAACTCAGGGATGCTCGACCACTGAGCCATATCCCAAGCCCTATTTTGTATTTTATTTAGAGACAGGGTCTCACTGAGTTGCTAAGCACCTTGCCATTGCTGAGACTGGCTTTGAACTCTCGATCCTCCTGCTTCAGCCTCCCAAGCCGCTGGGATCATAGGCGTGTGCCACTGCACCCAGTAAAAACAAAGATAGGTTATTTATAATAAGACTGGTAAAGTCATGGAGAAAAATATAATAAAATTGTGAGAAAATTGCTTCATGAAATAAAGAGATAACAAATTAAAATTTTTAAACCATAATTCATTTTTGAGCATATATTGTATGCCTATTTCCTAACAACTCTGTGAATGAGATACCACCTTTGAAGAATATAAATCAAAGAGAGGTTAGGCAGTTTGCCCAGGTCACACAGCTAGTTGAGGGTTAATGGTTTTCAAACTATGCAGTCTCATTCCAAACTCTGTTCTTTATCCATTTCTTTATTCCAGATTATTCCAACCTTGGTGCCATTTTGAGTCAGATAACTTTGATTTGGAGGGATAGCCTATGCCTTGAGGGATATTTAGCAGCATCTCTATTATGTACCCAAATTGATGTGTGTTAGTCAGCTTTTCATTGCTGTAACCAAAATATCTGACAAGAACAATTTAGTGGGGCAGTAGAGAGCTTGCCTAGTGCATGTGAGGCACTGGGTTCAGTCCTCAGCACAACATACATAAATAAAATAAATGTATGTCCGTCTAACACACACATATATATATACACACACACATACATACATACACACATACCTACAGTTTAGTGTAGAGGGAAAGTTTATTTGGGCTCACTGTTTCAGAGGTTCAGTCCATGATTGACCAACTCCATTGCTCTAGGCCCAAGATAAGGCAGAACATCATGGTGGAAAAGCATGGTAGAGGAAAGAAGCCCAGGACACAGTAATGAGAGAAGCAAAGGGAGAAAGGGGGAGGGGCCACACAGAAGATGAACCTTTTCAGGGTATGTTCCAGCTATTACCTCTCCACCAGCTATATCCCACTTGCCTACCGTTACCATCCAGTTAGCCCATTCAAACTAGGATGGATTGTTTACAGCTTTCATAATCTTAATTATTTTACTTCTGATATTCCTACATTAACATAGGAGCTGGGGGTGGGGGGTGCTTATATCCAAGCCATAACAGCCATAACAAGATGTCAGTAGCATCATTGTCCCAGTTGGGACAACTGAAAATGTCTTCAGTTATGGCCAAATGTTCTCTGGGTATAAAATCATCTTTCATACAAACCATTGTTCTGTATCAGTGCTATTGAATAGAAATATAATGGGAGTTATAAATAAGAGCCCAATGCATAATTTAATTTTTTCTGGTAGCCATAGTAAAAAGTAAAATGAAACAGGTAAATTTAAACTTAAAAATAATATATTTTACATGTCTCACTAAAAATATTATATAAAATTATTAGTGGAATATTTTACATTTATTCATGATAATTCAAATTTAGTGTGTACTTTACACTTAATAGCACATCTCAGTTCTCACTAGTTACATTTCATGTTCCAAATAGCCACATTAACTACTGGTTACCTTACTGGATAGCATATTGTATACAATCTCATAAAATACCTTGAACTTAAATGTTATAGAACTACAACAATTGCAATTTTTAAAATGTAGTATTTACAATAGAATATCTTAGAAATAATCAGATAATTCATAATGAATACAATATTACTTGTCAGAATTCATATTTGCCATAGCAACATATATGGAATAATTTATAAACCTAGCAAGGCAAATCCTTCATCAAACCTGCTTGGTTTTTTTTTCTTTCTTTTTTTTATTTGTTCTTTTTAGTTATACTTGACAGTAGACCTTGTTTTGATGTATTATATATACATGGAGTACAACTTCCAATTCTTCTGGTTATACTCCTCCTGGCAAACTGCCCATATAGATTTGGCTACTCTAATAGATTTATCTTCTGCTCCAGTCCTATGAAAAATGCAGCTCAAGCAAAATTTTCTATAGAGGGAGTAATGTTTTTGGTTAATTTTCTTAAGTTTTAATCTTGATACAGATTTCCTCTCTTAGCATTTTTCAAACATTATAAAGTTCTTTTTTCATTTGTTTACTCATTCTGTATATTAATCAGCATTTCATTGCTATGACCAAAATAACTGTCAAAGAACAACTTAGGGGAGGAAAGATTTATTTTGGTTCACAGTTTAGAGCTCTCAGCACATGGCCGACTGGCACAATCACAGAAACATCATAGTGGAAGGATGCAGTAGAGCAAAGCTGTTGAGCTCCTGGCAGCTGAGATAAACCCTTCCAGGGCACACCTCTAGTGAGTACCTCTTCCATCTATGTCCCAGATCCCAGTAATCCCTTCAGCTATCAATGGATGAATCCACTAAGTGGATTATTCCACCGATGAAATCAGATCTCTAATCATCGCCTGAAAGCCCCACCTCTGAACCTTGCCATATTAGGTCCATGGTGCCAACACATGATCTTTTGGGGACATTCTGTATCCAATCACAATATGTAACAAGTTATTATTTGAATTTACTGTGAGCCACTTAGCACTGTTTTGAAACAAATGAGACTCAGCCCATCCTCTGGTGGAGTTTACCTGCTAGAAGGCAAAGAAGACTCAACAACAACATAAAGAAACAAACAAAAAACCAAACTATAGTATGAATTGTATTATAATTGTTATATTATAGGGGCTTAGAGAAATTTTTGCAAGCCTTTTGGAGTGCCTCTTTATCACTACTCCAGGGAAAGACTTCTGGCAGAGGTCACATCTGGGTTATGTCTTGAAGGATGATATGCAATTCATCAATCAGAAAGGAGGAGAGTTTTTGTTTGTTTGTTTGTTTGTTTTGTTTTTTATTTTTTTGGTACCGGGGAATTGAACTCAGGGGTGCTTAACCACTGAGCCTTATCCCAAGCCCTTTTTTAAGGAGGAAAACACCTCTGATTACATCACATTGCCAATTTTCCCTGGCTTTTCCATTGAATTGATATGTCCACTGAAAGCACACTTATCTATGGGAAGAAAGGAATCCTGCCTGGGCCTGGCCTGAAGAAATGTTACTCCCTGCCCACACACCTTTGGCACACCTGCATGGATAGGTCATTTGGAATAGGATTCTGGATGTTAGTGTATCATTTCTCAAACTTGATGTAAAAGATTCACTTGACATTTATTTTCCTTTCATACTTTCCTTTAAAAAAATAAGCATATGTTACTTTATCCGTGGAAAAGAAAGATAAATTTCAATTTTAAAACTTGGCAGTGGTTGGATTTTTTTAAAAGCTACTGTGAATACAAAGGTTATTTCTCTGAGAAACTTGTTGTTACTCTTAAGATCTTAGAATTCTGTTTCTCTTTCATTGTATAGGATTATTTCTTGTGACTTTCTTTACAAATCCAGTTACCTCTTCACAATTAAAGTGATATCTTCACATTGAAGTCAGATATCTACATTGTATGTGAATGTGTGTGTGTGTGTGTGTGTGTGTGTGTTTTCAAGTGTGTAAGAAAGAGAGAGAGGGAAATTTTCAGTTAGCTCTTTCTCACCATGTTTAATTCTAACACAACTGAGGAGGCCAATTCTCTCCTGACTATGCACATGTCCCAGTGTAGGGTTCCTCCTTTTCGCCCTAGTAGGACTCATCCTCTTTACTTAGTTAGCCACTCTGCATTGAAGCTTTTAACATAGATAAAAGATGGACATGGATGTATGAAATGTAGCCTCAAAATGTTAATTCCCTATCCCTCGTTTCACTATATTTATTTTCTGTTGTGGTTTGGATCCAAATTTCAGGATGTTTGAGATTTTCCAATTCAATCTGCTCATTTTGTAGACAAAGGAAATAAATCATGGAGCTAATTATATTAGTATTAGTTTATGTTAAAGGAGCACTTACTAAATGCCAATCATCATGATAAATCAATATGAATATTACCTCATTTAATTAACTTTATCAGGTGGGTATTCATGTTAACTTCATGTTACAAAGAAGAAGATTAAGTGCTAGCTTGTTCAGGGACATGTAAATAAATGGCAGAGCTGTTACTCTAATGCAGGTGACTAGTTTGCCAAAAGTGAGTAATTTAATCAGCACATTGTTATGCTGGATGCTGGGCTTTGAGAGTGACCTGTCTTTATTCCTTCAAGTTTAATATAGAAAACATGTCACTATCCTCCAGTTGGGAGTACTATAACCTTCAATTTTTTCTTGTTTGTGAAGTCTGACTTCATGTCCCTCTCATGCCCACAGGTCACAGCAAACCCCCATCCCAGCACAACAGCAGACAGATGAGTTGTACCCCACTTATGGGTCTGAAGAGAGTGAAGAAGATCCTGCAGTCCAGGAGGAGGAGATAAGCACAGACTATATGTCTCTTCCCAAAGAAAAATTAGTTCAGTCCCAGAAGAAAATAACTCAGCTGATTAAGGAAAAACTGGTAAGATAAAAATTAAGTTTCTGTTTCCACATAAAAATATACCCATTGGGCTTGGGTTGTTGCTCAGCGGTAGAGTACTCGCCGTTTATGTGTAAGGCCCTGGGTTCAATCCTCAGTAACACATATAAATAAATAGAATAAAGTTATAAAAAAAGTGAATTAAAATAATATGTCCATGGTTAGAGAATCTCTGCATTCACTGCAGGCAGAATGAAGCACACAAAATAAAATGAAATGCTACATTTCTTTGTAAATGGGAAGAAAATCAGGGAACAGTTGAGTAGCCAACCCACCTTCCAATTCCCCACAGGGTTCACCATCTATTCCTCCCTGGAGCATTTGTGCTCCTAGCTTTAAACTAAGAATTAATTTGCCTTTTCCAGTTGCCATAGGATTAAGTTTGATTAATTAATTTTTAAGATTTCTCCTGGAAGGTTTCAGGATGATACCACTTGGGAAATTACTAGAGGGCCAAGATATAAAGGCAGGAGGCTAAGAACAAGGGCAGCCAAGCAGAAGTCTAGGTTGAGGCCTGTAAAGGATATGGGTAGGGTGCTTGTGGTTACAGTGGAATCATAAAACACCCAAAAGACCAGAAGCAGGAGGGAGTAGCGTCAGAGATCAAAGAGTTTAGGTATGCGTTTCTAAGAGTGAGTCAACACCTTGGGATCTAAGATCTTTGAGCCAGTGTGTAAGCAAGAGTGTTCAAAACCCAGGATCTTGAGACAGTAACATATTGACTTTTATTATTAGAACACAGACATCAGCTTGCTTCTAGGCCTGATTTATCAACAGAGTTCATATACTGATTTCTTGTCTGTTCCAGGTCAAGAGGAAATAATGGTTTCAGAGTTAATGTGTTCTCTTGCAGATAAGGGCTGAGAGGCACCTCAGAGGCATATCATAGGAACTGATACCTCTTCAAGATGGACACCTATAAGCTTACTTCTATAAATTATCTAGAAACCTTGCAAAAGACTATCATGGCTGGACCTATTAGTATGTCACACATCCAAACTAGGAGACCATTTTGTCTGTCATGATTTCCAAGTGTGAGCTTTGGAGGCTTGACAACTCCTTAGCCAGTTTGAGTAAGAAAGTAACAAAGATTTAGATCTTAGGAGTTAAATGTAACCCAACTCAGAACTCACAGACCAACCAGAAGGGCAAGGGAGTACCACCACCAGCAGCAGCAACACTGGAGTGAACTCTAAGCCCATATTGGTGGAATCATTTTTCCTTGAGCACAGGAGTTTGGGGATGAATACAGACTGTCCAGAGTCAGGTATAACTCAAAGCTTTGGGCTCCCATTTCTGTGATTTTTTCATGGCATTATGCCTTTTCCTCAAAATGTAACTTAATATTTTCATTTAGATAGTGCTTAACAAATTTAGCTCACATAGATGCTGACTTTTTTCTTATAGTAACTCTCTAAGGTAGATAGTATTGGTTTCCAAATCTCAGAAAAGAAAACTATGATCAGGATGATCTATCTCAAAACAACATAATTAGTAAATATTAGAACCAAGGCTAAAACTTTTTATTCCTCATAGTGCTATTTTCATTTCACCAAGAAATAAATGCCTGAGTCTGTTGAATTGTGCAGCCAATAGATGATCATGTTTGTAAAGTCACTGAAACACATGACTTGAAGGTATAGTTCTGTGGTTTCTGGAGCTCTGCCCATCAGCTCCACAGTGGCAGAGGGGCTCTTTCCTCCACCCCATCCTTACAGTGATTCATTCAGCAAATATTGAATGTGAATCTCCTCTGTGCCTTGGGCATAAAGGAGTTGAACATGAGGAATAAGCTTATTTGTTCAAGGAAGACAGATAATAGACAAATAAAGATCATAGCTAATATAATATGAACTAGGAGTGAGTGCTATGAAGAAAAAAAAATCAGTAATGGAACAATGAGTGATGCAGAGAAAGGTAATTTAGAAAGGTGGCCAAGAAAGACCTCATTAGATGAACAAAATGAAAAAACAGGAGACTGAACTATGTAAAAGAGTGCTCCAAGAAGGGATTATAGTAGATGCAAAAATTCTACATTGAAATTAGGTTGACACATTCATGTCAGAGTAGTTATCATAGGTGAATAAGAGGAGAAGAAGAAAGAGGTAGAAAATGAATGAGGTGATTAGGGTTGGGTCATATTAAATAGAGTCTTGGAGGCCATGGTAGGAACTTTGGGTTCCATTAAAATAAAAGAGTGAGAAGCTATGGAGGGTTTTGTATAGGAGAGTCACATGGCCTGGTATTGGCACAGAACCAGACATGAAGACCAGTGGAACAGAATAGAAGACACAGAGACAAACATACATCCTAGACAAGGGCATTGTAAACATACATGGGAGAAAAGATAGCCTCTTCAACAAATGGTGCTGGAAAAACTAGTAATCCATATGTATCTCTCGTCCTGCACAAAACTCAATAAAAATGGATCAAGGACATAGACATTAAACCAGAGACCTTGTGCCTACTAAAAGTAAAAGTAGACTCAACTCTCTATCATGTCAGCTTAGGAATTGAATCCTCAACAAGACTCCTAAAGCACAACAGATATAATCAAGAATCAATAAATGGCATGATATCAAACTAAAAAGCTTCTTTACAGCAAAGGAAAAAATCAAGAATGTGAACAGAGAGCCTATAAAATGGGAGAAAAGCTTTCCAATTTGCACCTCAAATAGAGCATTAATCTCTAGGATATATAGAGAACTCAAAAAACTTAACACCAAAAAAAACAAACAAACAAATAACCCAGTCAATAAATGGGCAAAGGAACTGAATAGGCACTTCACAGAAGAAGAAATATGATCGGTCAACAAATATATGAAAATATGTTCAAAATCACCAGCAATTAGAGAAATGCAAATTAAAACTACACTAAAATTTAATCTCATTCCAGTTAGAAAGGCAATTATCAAGAATACGAGTAATAATAAATATTGGGGAGGATGTGGGGGAAAAGATACACTCATACATTGGTGGTGGGGCTGCAAATTGGAGCAACCTCTCTGGAAAGCAGTATGGAGATTCTTCAGAAAATTTGGAATGGAACCATCATTTGACCCAGTTATCCCACTCCTTGGCCTAAATCCAAAAGAAGTGAAAATTAGCATATTACAATGATGCAGCCATTTCAATGTTTATAGCTGCTCAATTCACAATAGTTAGGCTATGGAACAAACCTAGGTGCCCTTCAACAGATAAATGGATAAAGAAAATGTACATATACACAATGGAATGTTACTCAGCCATAAAGAATAATAATATGGCATTTGCCAGTAAATGGATGGAACTGGAGAATATCATGCTAAGTGAAATAAACCAATCCCCCCAAAACCAAAGGTTGGATGTTCTCTCTGATATGTGGATGCTGACACACAATAAGCAGTGGGGGAAGGAAGAATAACAATTCACTGGATTAGACAAAAGGGAATGTAGGGAAGGGAAAGGGGATGTGAATGAAAAAGACAGTATAATGTTGGACATAACTATCCTGTATTCATATATGAATACATTGACCAATGTAACTCCACATCATGTACAACCATAAAAATGCAAAGTTATACTCCAGATATGTATGATATGTCAAAATACATTCTATGGTCATGTATAGCTAAAAGAAACAAACTAAAAAAAAATTTAAGAGACTGACTTCAGCATGTGTGATCATTAAAAATTTGCCAAAGGGCTGGGGATATGGCTCAGCGGTAGTGCGCTCGCCTGGCATGCGCGGGGCACTGGGTTGGTTCGATCGTCAGCACCACATAAAAATAAAATAAAGATGTTGTGTCCACCAAAAACTAAAAAATAAATATTAAAAAATTCTCTCTCTCTCTCCCCCACTTCTCTCTCTAAAAAAAAATTGCTAAAAATGGGCTGGGGTTGTACCTCAGTGGTAGAGTGCTTGCCTTGCACACGCAAGGCCCTGGGTTCGATCCTCAGCACCACATAAAATAAATAAATAAAAATAAAGGTATTGTGTTCATCTACAAAATTTTGCTAAAAATATTAGATTTCTAAAGTAGCCTTTTACTCCACCACTCCCTGTCTTTTTACCTATTTCAAGTGATATTAAAGAATTATTGCTAGTATTTTGACAATATAATGGTTTTTTGGTTGTTTCTAATTCTGAGACACTTAGGAGATTGTGTGTGTGTGTGTATGTGTATGTGTGTGTGTAGTATTAGGGATTTAATGCAGGAGAATTCCACCACTTAGTTGCACCCCAGCCCGTTTTATTTTTATTTTGAGACAGGATCTTGGTAATTTGCTGAAACTTGCAATCCTCCCATCTCAGCTGTCAAGTCATTGAGATTATAGACGTGCACAGATTAGAGCCCACACTTGCTTATGAGATATTTTGGATGAAATGTAAAAAGGCCTTTAATTTGCTTAAACACAATAGAAGGCAATATATATAGAATATAGATATGAAATAGGATTGACCATGAGTAAATAACGGATGATTCTGGGTGATTCATTCTCCATATTGCCATTGAAGTTTTTCATGATAAGAAGTTAAAAGAAGTCACTGTGACTATTATGTATAAAATGGACTGTGGAAGACAAGAGGGACAGCAGTTAGAAGGGGCTCTTATTAGCCAGCCAGGTAAAAAATGAGTGTGGCTGAGACTAGGTATGCAAGGCAGAAATGAGAAGAGCTTGATTTTAGGATATAGCAGTAAGGTGGAGCTGCCTGGACTTAATGGGTTGGATGTGAGAAGAAGCAAATGATAGAATGCAAATTTAGTCCTATCTTCTAGTGACGTGACAGAGATTTTCCTCCTTTCCCAAAAGCACAATGACTTTTTTGCTCTTTACAGACTATCCAAGCAAACAAGGAGCTGATTCGGTGTGTCATCCTATCTCGAATTGCTTTTGGAGAAGAACACTGGAAATGTGCACAGGCTTTGACCAACCTGGCTTATGGCTACCTGGTACTAAGAGGTACTTGGTTCTCCAGCTGGATCTGGGTGGGACAGCTTATGAAGCCAAAATGAACCTATACACAACTCCTTGGGGGTGGAGATGACTGAGAGGGTACCTTCCTCTTATTTTGGCAATATAATGTTTTTTTGGTTGTTTCTAATTCTCAGAGACACTTAGGAGATTGTGTGTGTGTGTGTGTGTGTGTGTGTGTGTGTGTGTGTGTATGTGTGTGTGTAGTATTAGGGATTTATCGCAGGGGCACTCCACCACTTAGCTGCACCCCCAGCCCTTTTTATTTTTATTTTGAGACAGGGTCTCTCATCAAGAGAATTGAGAGTCCATGGATAAGGCAGACAGCAAGTCTTAGTAATAAATATAACAAAGAAAATGATAGTTATTGAGTATTTGACATGTTCAAAGGTAGTTTTATTAAGTTTTTTAATATATCTTGGATGGAGCTACTGTTATTATCCCTAGTTTATAAACAAGACACTGAAGCAGGGTTTCCAGCCACAGATCAATAGGGAAAATATAGGAAGATATGTGTACTCCCAGCACCAGGGAAGCAGACCCAGTAATCGAATTTGAATTCTAAAAACTGAACTCAAGTTTTAGAAGATCTGGCTTAGAGAAAGTCAGGGCCTCATCCTATAGAAGTTATGTTTCTGGAAGATACTGTGGTTTGGGAGTAGAAGATGGAATTTATTTACTAAAACTGGAACTCAAGTGAAAGCTCCATGAAGAAAGGCACTGTAGAGTTGAGACTCCTTATATGTTTGTTGACAGACTGAGGCAAGAACCCATTTTTAGAACAAGGGTCATGGCCACTTGATCTTTGGCCCTTGACCAACCATGTCTCCCTACATGGACTGTTTTTACTTTTACTATGGAATTCACTATACTTTATTCATATGCCCTTTGTTTAAATGCCTCTGCCTCTGAAATAGAAGCGTCTTGAGAGCAGGGACCAGTTCTCAATCTAGAATATGTCCTTGTACACAATATGTATCAGCATGTTATTGCTTGATAGAAATAAATTGCTTGCCTGTGGCTTTTTCTAGTGTCATCAGTCTGAAGTGGGGTATAGCCCAAGTAATTTAAGGACTTAAGAAATTTGAGGATTTAAAAGGAAGGAGAACCAATATACATGGGCTGTAATGATCTTAGATGTCAAAATTCAGAATGTTGGATAAAGTTAAAATTGAATTCACTTCTCAGGTATTAATCTCAACACATTTTCCTTCTTAGGGATCCTTAGGCCCTTTTACATTCATTTGTTTTTAATTTAACTTTAGATTAATGTGATAAGTTCTCACGTGGTTGGGAATGGTGGTGCTGAGAGTTACAGGCCATGTTAGAACATCTATTTTGTGCCAAGAGAAGGAGGGATTCCTCACTTACTGGAAGAGCAGGTAGCCCACCTATCTGTGAGATTTGAGGGATACAAGAAAGGCCCTCAACAAAAAGAAATATTCCCCTATTGGGGCTTCATTCTTCATTATTTGGATCTCTGTATTCCATTCAAACTGATTTCCTCAAAAATGTGCTGCCTTGGGTTGGGATTATGGCTCAGTGATAGAGCACTTGCCTAGCACAAGTGAGGCCCTGCATTCAACCCTCAGCACCACATAAGAAGATAAATAAATAAAATAAAGGTATCCATCTACCACTATATATATATTTTAAAAAGCACTGTCTTAATGGCAAGAGTACCACTTTAACACTTTTAGAACTCCGTTTACAAGCCTGGTAGGACTGTGCTCGGTGCTGGGGATACATAAATGAATACAAGTAGTCCCTCTGCCTTGAGAGCTTACAGGGTCTTATAATAGGACCTCACAATAGTGGTGGAAACAAAGTTCCAGGGGATATTAATCAGTGGTGCTGCCCCTGAGGAAGGTCAGGGAAGGTTTCAGAGAGAAGGTAGTATTTGTTCTGTCTTTGAAGGATGAGTGTAGGTCCAAGTAGATTTTTGAGGAGAATGGTATAATATCCAAAGTTGGTCCTGTATGTGTGGATCTGAGGAGTGGGAACAGAGAGGGAAAGTCCTTACACAGACTGTAGGTTCTGTGTAGACTCAAGGATTCAGTTTAGAACAGAAGATATCTTAGGGCAGACAGGTTTTGACTGGAAGTGAAACTGAAAAGGTAATTTGGGCCCAGATATCAAGGTGTTTGAGGAGGTTTTATGAGAGCATTGATGATGTAATGTAATCAAGTTTGTGTTGTTAAGTGAGAAACTCTAGGTTAGACTGGTGGAGAAAGTGGAAGTGAAGATCAGTCTATTATCCTGTATGGATGAAAATGAGGGCATTGACCACGGCAGTTAGAATGCAAATGAGATAACTTAAAATGTAGAATTGGTGACATTTAATGATTAATTCATTATGGAGTGGGAAGGACATGGAAGAATTGAAATAGTATGACTATTTCAATTAAAGACTAGACTAGGAACTGACAGTATATAGCTCCGTGGTAGGATACATGCTTAACATGCACAAGGCCTTGGGTTTAATTCCCAGCACCTAAATAAATAAATATAAAAAATTAAAAATGAAGAGCAGGTTGATAGAGGAAGGGGAAAGAAGCTGCTGGGTATGGTTTCAGACAGGCTTGTATTCAGTAGACTGCTGAAAAGTGGATGTGGAGCTCAGAGAAAATGTTAGTTTGGGAAGAATTGGGTAGCAAGTTGAGACCATAGGAGTGAATGATTTTGATCAGAAAATGTGTACAGAATGAGAGGGGAAGAGGGCAAAGGGCATAAGACCTGAGGACAAGAAGGAATGGATAACAAAAGAGGAACAAAGGAAATACAAGAATCATGGAAGCCGAGGGAAGAGAGGATTTCAAAAGGAAGCACAGTTGGTTTCAGCAGCTGTAGGTAGTAGAGAGAGGTCAGATAGGGTAAAGGCCGGAGAGAACCACGGGGTTGACAATTGGTAGGTCATTGAAACTTGGTTTGGCATGGAACACTCCTTGGGCCCTGGAGAACCCAAATTCAAAAAGGCTTTTGCTCTGATTTAGACTTGAGGTCGGTACAACTTAAACTAGAGAGGAAAGTGTTTGGGAGGAAGACTTATCTGAACTGGAATAAGGCCAGATGCTACTGCTTTTGGTTTGGGTAGATTACTATGGTAGGCCTATGGAAGGAGCTTATCTTGCATCTTCTGAAATCTACCCTTTCTATGATCAACCACAAACTGACTTTGAGGTTTTTTTAGTTAAATTAAGTCAAAATAAGTAAGCAGGTCATATCACAGAAGATGGTGAGGACATCCTTTTCTCTCTGCTACATGAATGGAGAACTCCATTTGGGATAAAAGGTTGGAGAGAGGAAGGTTTTTCATTTTTCTAGATGGACAAACAGCTTTCTGGTTAAATGAAGTACTCACATAGTATCCCCATGCCTACACTTGATCCCAGAATTTCTAATACCCAGCCTAGAGTGCTTCTAGAATAGATGATGATTGTGACCTTTCCTTGAGGCTAGCTCAGTGGCTTCTATCGCAGTTGTAGTCCTTACCCAGTTTCTTCTCTCCTTTTTTTTCCCCCAGGGTCTAGTGCATGGAATAAAACAAATAAGGATTTGAAAAACTGCAAACCTTTTAGAGGGATAAAATTCTTGCTGAGTTCCACTTAGTTTTGTTGTCATTAATCCTGTAACTGCTTTAAAATGGACAGAATGTATGAGCTAGCTTCCTGTGTGGGCGGGACGTGTGCATCTGCGTTCATGCCTCACTGCACATGCTCATATTTTACAGCCATCAGATCTGGGCTCCTCATTTCCCTCTCAGCCTTTTCCAACATTGGAATAGGGAGTCAAGCCCAAAGGCTGATTTCTCTTGATAAACAGTTTTCCATGAAGATGTAGTGAGAAGCATGTATGTGAAGTATTATAAAGAGTACTTGGGGAAATATAATGTGTACAAACCCTCAAAGAATTTACAACCAATTGTGGAAATGAACTACTATAGACCTGTGATAGAAGACATTTTAAGATAAATGTCATGTAATTGGTTTAAATAAAGGGCTTTGAAAAATTGGGTGAAGTTATTCCTGGCTAAGATGGTAATTAATTAGTAGATTCAGAAAGGAGGCAGCATTCAAGCAGGACTGTAAAAAGTAAATTGTGTTTGGGTGGCAGAAGAAAGGTGGGATATTTCTAGTCAAAGAGAAGGACGTGAGCAAAGGCACGTAGAAGGAACATGCAGTGTCTCTTCAGACAGCAGGAAGCAGCATGCTGGATAAGAATTGGGCTGGGAAGATGAACCTGGAAGGGAGGGTGCACGGGGTAGACCACAGTGAAACTGTAAATATGGGTAAAGGAATTTGTAATTTATTTGGTATGGAGGGAGGATTATTAGAGATTTTCCATCAGGATGGTGAAAATATCAAAGTGTACTTTAATATTTAGTCTAGTAATTAGAGCTAGAGTGAAAGCTATCTCAGTCATCTAAGTCTAAAACTAGGCTAATGACAGGGAACTGGTGACAAAGTAAGAAGCCAATGAAGGAAGGATACATTTATTTTTTTAAACCAGAAATCCTACTTCTGGGCATCTTTCCTAAATATACACATGTAATATATGGATGAGATTATTCTTTGCAGCATTTTTATGGTAGTAAAAGATTGCAAAAAAACCAGGTGTCCATCAATGGAGAAGCAGTATATACACAACAACAGTTTTTAAAAAGAGCACGAGGAACCTCTGTACACTTCTAGAGAGAGATCTCCTGGATGCATGTTTAAGGGAAAGGAAATGAACATTGCAGCAGTGTTACAACATGATTCTTTTTATAAGAAAGAGGCAGAGAGAAATGAGAATGTGGATTAAATTTACATGAAGAAGATGCAGTGAAGGATATACAGGAATGAAATAAAAAAGTTACTTAGAGGGTGATTATGGTGAAAAGAAACAGGGTTGGAAGGGATACCTCTCAATGTTTACCTTTTCATGTAATTTTAACTTTTAAATCAGAGAAATTACTTATTCAAAAAGATCATTATAAGGAAGACAGT